AACAACAACAACAACATTGCATCTTGAACGCAGTCCACCGTACAAAATAGGACAGTAGTAAATACTAAAGGCCCCTAGATGGTGCAATACTAACTGAACCAAAAGAGATGAAAGTTAATATTGTAGATATATGTCTTATCTTCTAAAACTATAACGAAGTAGTGACTCACTATTTAAGATTTGATGTTTAACTGCATTATGGATACAAAATACACATTTCTCCAGCATAGTTATATAAGTTGTCTGTGGTAGTAGTTATGATCAAACTATAAACTCTTCTTACATATGACTATGGGCTAAATTGTCTAAATTCTTTTTCTACAAAACACAAGCATGATGGATTTCTTTCAGTCAGCAAGTAAAAACATTAGAAGTATTCTATTAGTTGTTCTAATATATACATAACTTTTATTCCTTCAGAAGTCTATGTCTTTATTTGTTGCCTTATTTATTAAAGAAAATATGAATCCAACAAATGAAGAGAATAACCTTTAATCAAAATTGCATTCCCAGGACTATGTCAAAGCTGGTGGTATCCTTCAGGAGGATATTTCTGAAGCTTGTCTAATTTTGGGAGTTAAGAGACCTCCAGAGGAAAAATTAATGCCCAAGAAGACTTATGCTTTCTTCTCCCACACAATCAAAGCACAGGAGGCCAATATGGGCTTGTTGGATGAGATCCTAAAACAGGTAATTAGTGACCAATATTGACATGGATGGGTAGTATTTTTTAGCTCTTAGCTCTCTTTGGAGTTTTAGTTTTCTTTCTTCATTGAGGAAATATATCATGATGTTCACATCCATAGGAAAAGTGTGCTGTTCATTGGGGCCTGAACAGTGCTGCTGCTGTGGAACGCCTCTGCTGTGCAGGCTTCGGGTTTACAACACGAGGAACCAAGCATACGCCATTCCTGTTAGATTCTTTAATGGAAAGCATGATAAAAGCTTCCCCCTAAATCACAACCAATTTTCAAAAGCAATTTTTCAGTTATTACTTACTAGAATTTTAGAGCTGAAAAGAACCTTGTTGCTGCTGTTGTTGTTATGTGCTGTTGAGTTGAACCTGACTCATAGCGACCCCCCCTTGGGTTTCCGAGGAGTATCACTACGGAAGTAGATTGCCCAACCTTCCTTCCGAGGAAAAGAACCCTAGGGACCATAAAATCCACACCTTTATTTTTCAGAGGGGGCCCAGAGAGGTAAAATGACTTAGCTGAAGTTGTACAGGTCTGTGTTTCCAAAACTGGACTACACACCATTTGTATATTTATTAACATTCATAATAGGAAAAAACTTTTTGGAATACAAATATGATGGAAAAGCTAGGAGCTGTTTAAAATACAAGTTATTCACTCAACAAATACCTGCTGAATGCTGACACTTCACTGTAGGAAAGTGCAAAATGGTAAGATAGTCCTCTTTTCATGGAGTTGACATTCAGCGGGAGAAGATGGAGATAAACAAGTAAATGGTGTATCTTGTATGTCACTTGCTGATAAGCGTAATGGAAATAAAGATAGAAGGAGAAAAGGAATGCTGGGCACTGGGGGCTTCTGGTTACCTAGTGCCGCTCTCACAAGGGTATACCACAAATGGGATGCTTGAACAAACAGGAATTTATTCTTACAGTTTGGAGGCTTTAAGTCCATGTTCAAAGTACCAGGCTCTAGGTGCTGGGTGAAAGCCCCTCAGCCTTGGGCTTCAGCTCTGCCTCCAGCTCCCGGCCCACTGAAGCTAGAGCCTTTTCTTCACTCAGACAGCTGCTGGCTGCTGAGGCTGACAAACCCAAGGTTGACAATTAAAGGGCATAGTCCCGATGTTACCAAACAACATGACAGGCCATTAATTTAAGTCCATTGTAAGTCCCAAGGTCGGCAGAGCAGGGCAGGTTGCTGAACAACGATACAGTTACATGCAGGGTCCAAGCATGCCGTAAGCTAGAGACTATTCTCAAAGCTGCTTCTTATATACGGGAAGTAGACCACATCCCAAAGCAGCTACCCAGCTTCTTTTGGTGGATCCCACCATGGAGTTGATTGCCAGTCGCATCATGGGGAATAACTACCACCAGCTGCCCAGCCACTCAATGAGGCCCAGACAAATTGACACACAAACATAACCACCACAGGGGGCAAAGGGGATGCTGGTTTAAGTATAGTGGCCAGAGAGGGCCTCATTGAAGAAGGTGGCATTTGATGGAGGTGAGGGAACAAGCCACGTCCACCTGGTGAAGAGTGTTTCAAGAAGAGTGAAAAGTAGTGCAAAGGCCTGAGAATCTTTCTGAGTGGAAGGTGAGAATAGATTACGTTCTAAAAAGTTTATTCTAAGGCAAATGCATAGACACAAAAGTTTTTTAGTGGTTTACCAGGCACTGGGGAGAGGAAGAAATGGGGAGTTATTAATAGGTACTGAGTTTCTGTGCCTAGGGCACTTGACTGCTAACCAGAAGGCTGGCGGTTCAAACCCACCAGCCATTCCCCGGGAGGAAGGTTGGGCAGTCTACTTCTGTAGTGATACTGCCTCAGAAACCCAAGGAGGGGTCGCTATGGGTTGGATCCGACTCCATGGCAATGGTTTCTGTATACGTTACGAGTTTCTGTTTAAGATGATGAAAAACACTTGGAAATGGTTAGTGGTGGTGCTTGCACAGCGAGGTGAATGCAGTTGATGTTACTGAAATGTACACATAAAAATGGTTAATATGGCAAATATTTTGTTATATATGTTTTACCGGGAGCTCTGGTAGCATAGTGGCTAAGGCACTTGACTGCTAACCAGAAGGTTGGCGGTTCAAACCCACCAGCCACTCCTCGGAAGGAAGATGGGGCAATCTACTTCCGTAGTGATACTGCCTTGGAAACCCAAGAAGGGGTTGCTATGAGTCGGGTCTGACTCGACGGCATATAACAACAACAACAACAACAACAACATATGTTTTACCATAATTGAAAAGAAAAGCTAATTGTATCTGGAGAAAAATTGAGGGTAGGAGGGCAGAACAAAACTGGCAAGGAGACTGTTGGTTTAGGCTAGTCTAGACTCAGGGCCACAGATATTGGTAGCTAGTACTAGGTTTGTGGAAATGGAGGTTGTGACACATGGACATTTCAATCCTGTGTGTAGGTTAGAGATTTGGTCCTCCAGGATGCATGAGTGCAGTGAATATGGGATATGAGCAAAAGGGAGGAGGCAGGGATGGTTCCAAGGTTTTGGCCTGAGCAACTGGAAAGAAGGTGGTGCTTGAATTGAGAGTGCAAGAGGAGTAGGCTTGCATGGGAGGGTCGGAAGTTGAGTGTAGAGCCTGTTCAGTTTGACATGACCCTTCGACATTCAAGGGAAGATGCTGAGTGGGCTGCTGGATATGAGTCTGTAGCTCAGGATGGTGGCCTGAGCTAGAGATTATGGTTGAAAACTTGGAGACTGGATGAGTGTAGGGAGTAAGTAGATAGAGAGGAAGTCCAAAGTCAAAGTCCTGGGGTAAGGATGTGTTCTGGTTACCTAGTGCCACACTGACAAGAATATACACAAATGGGATGGCTTGAACGAATAGGAGTTTATTCTCTCACAGTTTGGAGGCTTTAAGTCCAAGTTCAAAGTGCCAGGCTCTAGGGGCTGGCTGAAAGCCCCTCGACCTTGGGCTTCAGCTCTGCCTCTTGCTCTTGGCCCACTGAAGCTAGAGGCATCTCTTCACTCAGGCAGCTACTGACTTCTGAGGCTAACAAGCCCAAGGTCCACAAATAAAATGGCACAGTCCTGATGTTACCAGCAGGCTATTAACTCAAGTCCATTGTAAGTCTCAAGGTCAGCAGAGCATGGCAGGCTGCTGAAAAACAACACAGCTACATGAATGATCCAAGCGTGCCATAAGCTAGAGACCATGCTGCTTATATACGGGAAGCAGACCGCATACCCAAAGCAGCTACTCAGCTGCTTGTGGTCGATCCCACCATGGAGTTGATTGCCAGTCTCATCATGGGGAATAACTACCACGAGCTGCCCAGCCACTCAGCCAGGCCCAGCCCAGTTGATAGACAAACATAACCACCACAGGATGTTTGAGCATTAAAACTAGACTGGAGTCTGAGACTCGGGGAGAAGTTAGGAGAGTTCACAATGCTGGAAAATATATTTTATATAGAACTATCGAGTACTTTTATATTAATTTCAAATATGCCAGACTTGGCCTATATAATTTATTTGCAGTGTTTCTGAAGAACATATTCAAAGAGTAATGAATGAAAATAATATAAGAATGTTTCACCTGAAGCAAATAAACGTTAAAAAGTATTTTAGAACCATTTTTGTTATGTGAACTTTTGTTCATTACAAGAAAATGAATAACAACAGACCCAACAGGACTGCTTTTTGGTCACATTTTGTAACCAATTACTTGGAGTTAGGTAAATATTAAACAAGATCCTTAAATTCATGCACATGGTGAAAAGTGGTAGGATCTTTGAGGAAATAAAATGGCTATTTAAAATTTTCTATAATTACAATATTTCAATAGTCTTTTAAGCATGAATTAAGAAAGCTTTCCTGGGGGGTGGGAATTTCCAAGGAAAGAGGAAGAATGACGTTTTCGTAAGGGAAGTGAAAAGAAGGCATTTTGAAATCTAGCTTACCTGTAGAAAGTTGGAGAGAAACAGAAAGAAAGGGTAAGAGGAAAAGTAAGCAAGCAAGAGAAAGAGATCCCGACTCATAGTGACCCCTCCTTGGGTTTCCAAGGCGGTATCAATATGTAAGTAGATTGCCCAACCTTCCTTCCAAGGAGTGGCTGGTGGGTTTGAACTGCCAGCCTTCTGGTTAGCAGTCAAATACCTTAGGCACTAGGCCACCAGAGGAGTCTGGTATAAAGAGGGATGAAGTAGGAGAAAGGTGAGGTAATAATTGAAGGGGAATGGTCTTGTAGGACGTGGGAAAAGCTGAGATCTAACACACAGGGATTAGTCTCAGATGGGAGGAAGGACAGGAAAGATGGATGTGAGGGTATGGAATGTAGATACATTCGTAGCTAGTCCGGGAGCAGAAGGTTCAAAGAAAGCATACATTTATTATTTCATTGACTATAATCAAGGGCATCAGCATCTTGCTAGGAACGTTCTTTCATCTTTGTACTTGTTTAGGGATTCCTGTAATTGGTTTATGATCTGGCATTTTCTAAATAGTTCATGGACCACCTCAAGGAAACATATGTTAGCAAGTCAAGATATATTTTACAAGAAGAAAAAAAAAGCGAGGTAGTTACTTGCTTAATGTCTCAGTTATTTAGTGCTGCTATAACAGAAATACCACAAGTGGATGCCTTTAACAAAAAGGAATTTATTTCCCCATAGTTCTGAAGGCTGGAAGTCCAAATTTAGGGTCCCAGCTCCAGGGGACCTCTCTGTTGGCTCTGGAGCCTTGTCTTTTCTGAGCTTCTGGGCACCCTTCAAGTGGCTTAGCGTCTCTTGTCTCTCGTTCCCCACCTGTGCTCTGCTTGTTTGTTTAATATCTTTTATGGTTAAAAAGAGTTTGACTCAAGATACACCCTACACTTGACCTGCCTCGTTAACATAACAAAGACAACCTATTCCCAAATGAGATGATATCTACAAGTTCAGAGGTTAGGATTTACAACACATAATTTGGGGAGACATAATTCAATCCGTAGCACTCGTATATGTATTTTACTCACTAATGTTGTTGTTGTTGTTATGTGCTGTCAAGTCGGACCCTACTCATAGCGATCCCTCCTTGGGTTTCCGAGGCAGTATCACTACGGAAGTAGATTGCCCCATCTTCCTTCCGAGGAGTGGCTCGTGGGTTTGAACCACCAGCCTTCTGGTTAGCAGTCAAGTGTCTTAGCCACTATGCTACCAGAGCTCACTAATAGCAAGCTTAATAAGTCTGATTTGAAATTTTGATCCTTCCTTCAGGAAATTCGACTTATTGATTATGAGAAAATGGTGGATCATAGAGGAATACGGGTAGTAGCATTTGGACAGTGGGCAGGCGTGGCAGGTAGGTATGCCAGGGCTTCTACATCATTCACTTTATAATTTTGCCTGCGGAAAAACTATGTTTCTGTTTTCTGGTGGCAGGGGGATAGGAGTGTTCATTCTCACCAATAAAAATTAGCAAGGAATATAGTAAGGTTGATAAATAGCAGAGGAATAGAGTAAGATAAATCATTGAAAATTTATTATAAAAATTAAAAAGAAAAAGAACAGAGAAGGATAACAGCTATGGCCAGACCATGGTTTTAGATTCCTGTCTGGAAGGACTAGAAGGAGAGGTGAATTTGGTGATAATACTTTGAGGAGCAGAAGAAAGGGAAAAGAGGAAAAGGAAGAAAGGCACAGGAGCAGTCTTGGAAGAACAAGACTTGGAGTTTGGAAAACACTCAGACTTTTTGTCTCAACTAGCTGTTTCAAAAAACCAAAACCAAACTCACTGCCATTGAGTTGATCCCGACTCTTAGCAACCCCTCCTTGGGTTTCCGAGGCGCTATCTCTGCAGAAGTAGATTGCTCCATTTTCTTTTCCAGGAATAGATGGTTGGTTTGAACAACCAGCCTTCTGGTTAGCAGTCAAGTGCCTTAGGCACTAGTCTTTATACCCTTCTTTAGTTCAGATTGAGGAGTTCTAGTGTTGATGAATTGGTTAAAACATTGGGCTGCCAACCAATAGTTCGGTGGTTTGAACCCACCAGCTACTCTGCAGAGAGAAATGAAGTAATCTGCTTTCCTAAAGATTCACAGCCTTGGAAACCCTATAGAGCAGTTCTACTGTCCTGAAGGGGACACTGTGAGTCAGAAATGACTCAATGGCAGTGGTGTTTTTCAGTTGAGATTATGATTGATCTTCTTTAGTTGGTTATGATTTTGTATCCTATTAGTCTACTTAAAGGTCAGAATAAAGAAGGTCATTCATGTGTTTGGCCTTATTTGTATGTTTCATTTTATAGAAGACTCGTTATTGTCTTCATGCCATTGTTGTTTCATCTTTTTTTTGTTTGTTGTATTTTCTTCTGTTTCATCTTGACTACTTTGTTTTTTGCCTCCTCAAGATTAAACTCATTAAATTTCATTTCTCAAAAAATATGGCTGGTAGTATCACATTTTTTACTGTACAGAAATACAGATTATTTGGAATCCTAGGATACTTTATAAAATAGCACTCTCTCCCTTTTTCCTATGCACTCATTAATATCCTCACTCAATTCTTTTAGGAAAGATTTGAAATAATATCTCTACTTTTACAAATCAATGGAGCTCTGGTGGTGTAGTAGTTAAGGCATTTGGTTGCTTACCAAAAGTTTGGTGGTTCAAACCCACCAGCTGCTCCATGGAAGAAAGATGAGGCAATTGCTTCCGTAACAATGTACAGTCTTAGAAGCCCAATGGGGGGCTGGTATGACTCGGACTGACTTGATGGCAGTGAGTTTTTGTTTTTTCACAAATCAATAGTTTTAGAAAATCCATAAAATTGTATTTTGCTAAACTATTTCTCAAAAAGAAAAATCTAAGTAATATTTTGAAACTTTTTTTTTACATAAAATTCATTTATTGTTTCTTATTTTAATAACTTCATAAAGATAAGCGAGGCAATCAATGACATCAAAGCAGGAAAACAATAGAACAAATAAGTAAAATCAAAAGTTGTTCTTTGGGGGGGAAAAATTGATATACCTTCTGGTAGAGTGATCAGGAGAAAAGAGAAGACAGTATTTACCAATATCAAGAGGGAACATCCATGTAGATCCTACAGACATTAAAAGGATAAGGGACTAGTATGAATAACTAAAAGCCAAAAAATTTGACAACTTTGATAAAATGGACAGATCCTTATAAGACACAAATTACCGAAACCAACTCAAGAAGAAATAAAAAAAACTTTCATATTAATATATGAAATAAATTCCATGTGTAGACATTTATCAAGAGAAATGAGATGCTTCATACAAAGATTTTTATGCAAATGATTATTGTCTGGAAACAATCCAAGTGTCTATCAACAGAGGAATGGATAGTTAATTGTTGTATATACATAAAATACAGGAGCTCTGGTGGCATAATGGTAAAGGCATTCGACTGCTAACCAAAAGGTCGGCAGCTCAAATCCACTAGCCACTTTGTAGGAGACAGATGAGGCAGTCAGCTTCCATAAAGATTTGGAAACCCTATGGAGCAGTTCTCCTCTATCTTATAGGGTTGTTATGAGTTGGAATCGTGTCAGTGGCAGTGGGTTTGGGTTTTGGATTACATACATAAAATGGAAACTCCACAGCAATAAAAAGAAACTACTGATATACACACACAAAAAAAATCTATGAATCTCTAAAACCTGCTGACTGTAAGAAGCCACAGAAAAGTATATATGTATATTTGTATTTATAATTGCATTTGCATAAAAGTGTGCAAGAGGGTTATATACACACGCAGAAATAAGATCAGTAGTTGATTGGGACCAGGAATTTGGGAGGATTGATTAGGGTAATGGGGAAATATCCTGTATCTTGATTGTGTTGGTAGTAAAATGAGTGCATACATATGTTAACAATTACCAAACTACAAGTAGTCCTTGACTTATGATATATTCATGTTATAATGAACTGACCTTCCAATCATTCTTTCTCTTTTTGTACATGTCATTGTTAGTAACATGTACTACATGTTGTTGTTGTTGTTATGTGCTGCCGAGTTAGACCTGACTCATAGCGACCCCTCCTTGGGTTGCCGAGGCAGTATCACTATGGAAATAGGTTGCCCAACCTTCCTTCCGAGGTATATACAATGTTAAAATATAATGATAAGTTTATATGTAATGTTTCCACACCCCAAAGAAAAATGAAGATCATATTTATAAAGAAACTGATAATAAAAGGCAATAATAATGAAAACACACAAACAAAAAAAGTATTTGATTTAAGTCACAACCGATTTATGATGGACTTATAGGAACAGAACCCAGTTGTGTGTCGGGGACTACCTATATACACTTGACATTTTATCATCTATAAATTATCCCTTTAAAAATTGATTTAAACAAAAAGGAAACTTGGTGGAGTATGGGGAGGGAAGAGTCTATTCTTAAAAGGAAGAAAGGGAGAATGGATACAATTGAAAGGACATTCAGTCTGAGACGTCCATAGGTGATTGGCTAGGTCTTGAAATCAAATGTTGAAGCCTTCAACATACAGATAAACAAACAAACAAACAAACAAACAAAACCCACTGCTTTTGAGTCAAGTGTGACTCATAGCGACCCCTCCTTGGGTTTCCGAGGTGATATCACTGCAGAAGTAGATTGCCCAGCCTTCCGAGGAGTGGCTGGTGGGTTTGAACCACCAGCCTTCTAGTTAGCAATCAGATGCCTTAGGCACTACACCACCAGAGCTCCCACAATATACAGATAGGACTTGACATTGTGGACTGGATGAGATTTCTTAGAGAAAAAAAAAAAAAAAATGTAGAGATTGAAGAGAAGAGGGCTGAGGACAGAATCCTGGGTGTGACCAGTGTTAAAAGAAAGGGCAGAGAACACTGATATAAAAGGAAAGAGCAGGGGGAAAGGAGTCTACAGATAAGTAAGTTGAAAATGTTTACGTCAGGAAAGTTGAGAGAAGAGCGTGTTTCAAGGAAGAGGGATATGTCTTCATTGCCGAATGCTTCTGACCACCAAGTCAGGATCTAAACAATGTCCACTCAGCTTAGCTATTTAGGTCACTAAACAGCTTCTGGAGGTCCTAGCGTCAGTGGAGAGTTTGATTTTGTTTCTGTTTGTTTTAGGTATGGAGAGACTGGAGCATATTTAAATGCTGTTAAGAATGAATTACTAGAAAGGAATAGTGAAGGGACAGATTCAAGACTGAGTTACATGGGAAGGCAGGAAGGATGGAATGTGGAGCAAGTATGGAGATGAATCCTAGACAAGAGGAGAGGATGCAGCTGGGTCAGTGCTTTTGATGGCAGAAAATTGAGGGGATGCATCTAATGAGGCTACTGAGAGCCCATCCAAATCTGAGATGCTGTGGACTGTGATTCGTCAGGGTACCAAGCAGGTGAAGATGGGCAGGGAGAACAGCTTCAACTCCTCTCCACTAATGGTCTCTTTGTCGGTCTGATTATGACATAGGGATGATCAACATTTTACATGGAATGGGTTTAAGGCTCCTTGCTCTGGGACATCACACACCCTTTATGGTAAGATGTTTATTTTGTTTACTTTTTTAAAAATACCTATCACACTTTTTAGAACAGAACAGCACCTGAGCTTGTAGACTGACCTCAATCCTGTGTGCTTGCAGCACATCGGGATGGCTCACAACTACAGGAACAGCAGTCAGGCTGTGCAAGCTGTCCGCGATGCTGGCTACGAAATATCTCTGGGTTTGATGCCAAAGTCAATAGGGCCCTTAACATTTGTGTTCACAGGGACTGGTAATGTATCTAAGGTAAATTCTCCCTGCCTTTTTCCCGTTCAATGGCATGAGATCCTAACTGTCCCAAAGAATGAGGGCATTTTGTGGGCATTTCAGAGCTCTGCTTTTCCAAGAATGAGCATCCAGTGTTTGCCCTTTCCTTACCTATGTAATTTCTTGATACTGAAGATCAGTGGTCCAAATGTTTTTTATTTGATTTAGTTGATTTTCAAGGCTTGAGATTATGATTATTTTAATTTGTAAGGGATAACTTGTTAGTGAGTGTAAATTCCTTTTTTAAGGTAATCTGTTTTACCTCCACCACTGATATGTCCAAATGTTTGGGAGGGACCCCAGGTTGTAAATTTTCAAGACTTTTTGGAGAGTTCTGACAATGAGATGTTAAGAAGATTCTTCCTGTAAAGACTGGAATTAATACTTTGTTTCTTTTAGATGATTTTGAGAATGGACTTATGATCCCCTGGAGAAACTTGTAATCACAAAATAGATCTTTTGTCAAAGAAAACAAAATATTTTATACATGTTGTTGTTGTTGTTATGTGCTGTTGAGTCAGACCCAACTCATAGTAACCCCTCCTTGGGTTTCCAAGGCGGTATCACTATGGAAATAGATTGCCCAACCTTCCTTCCGAAGAGTGGCCGGTGGGTTTGAACTGCCAGCCTTCTTGTTAGACGTCAAGTAGGGTCACTATTTGTATTGTATTATGAGATAATCATCTAATTTTTTCTTTTGAAGTAAATATAGTTTCTCCACTAGAATTAATTTCTACAATGGAGCAAAATGGAAATACACATATATTATTGTACCATTATTTTTCAACACTCTTGTTGCTACTCCGAGCAACCTAAATAAAAAAATAGAGTCCCTTCAATGAATGCTGGATAAACTGGAGTGAAGGCTGGCTTGCAGACTGTGGGCGAGAATTTCATCCCTGCTGCCAGTTGCCATCCTGCTTGCAGGCCAAGGGAGCTATCTAATTGTAGGGAAAATAAACAGAAATCTTTGTAGGAAACATTGTTGGTTCTTCTGTTAACTTTTGGATTTTTTACTCCTACCTTACATATAGGGAGCCCAAGAAATATTCAACGAACTACCCTGTGAATATGTGGAGCCTCATGAATTAAAAGAAGTTTCCCAAACTGGAGGTATTGGAGGAGAGGGGAGGAGAAGTGACTGTGTGTTTGTAATGATCTGTGTGTTATAATATTTTATCACCATAAATCTTTCTAAATTATCAGCCACTTTACTAATTTCTTTCTCCTCTGCAAGACCTCAGAAAAGTGTATGGGACGGTGTTAAGTCGCCATCATCATCTTGTCAGGAAAACAGATGGTATATATGATCCTGTAGAGTATGACAAATATCCCGAACGCTACATAAGTCGTTTCAATACTGATGTGAGTATCACAGTCAGCTTTTGAGTTGCTTGTTTAGGATATACTATAGTTAGATTGTTTTCAAGGAGAGAATTTACAAATGAGTACATTTAAGTTTTCTGTATTGACTTATCTTGAGTCCTTTGGATATCACCAGTTGGATTTAGGAGCTGCTCACTGTTATTGGTGGAGTAGGCTTTGCTTAGTGGTTTTGGTGGTTGCTTGGGTATGTCTTTTGTTTTACTGTCTCTGTTTCTACTTCATTTCTTCATGTGCGTCACAGCTCCAAACCATGTCCTGTAGATTTTTGTGTTTCTGTATTTATCCTGGACTAGTCAGCATTGTTGGCAAAGCACAATGTCTGTAAAATTTGGTCTGAATATAGGTTTATGGCCACCAGTAGAAATCCTAAACTCAGCCAGCCATCTTGAAAGCCATGCCACTGATTACAGGGGACCAGGGTGAAGAGATTTGTGCCCACTGTAGGGAAAAGCTCCTTACAGTACTTACATCCTTTGAAATCCTTCTGATGGGGACACACTGGCACCATCTTATACAAAGTACAGTATATTTGTGTGTTCTGTAGTCATAGGTCATGCAGCAATCCTTCCTCTCAAAGCAACAAACATAAATCAAAAACAAAAGTGCATGCACTTACTGTGAAAAGGAACACTTTAAATAATTTTAAATATGTGTGAATAGCATACCATTTTGGGGATTATGGTATGAAATTTAGCTGTGTGGTAGTATGTAAGGCATGTTATAGAAGAAACTCTGATTTGTAGCTTGAGAATGCTTGAGAAACAAACATTATGAAGCTACCTAAAGCTGAAAAAGTTTGGATCAAGTCAATTTCCACTCTTTCCCTTTTCCCCAATCACAGAAATATTGGTGATCGGATGCATTCTAAAACTTAATAATGACCTAGTTACCATGTATGCTTGTATGTAGCATTTTTCTCCATGGAGTTTATAGATGGTTAATCTGTATTTTAATTTGATTTAATCTTCACAGCCTTCCTTTGAGGAATGGGGTATGTATTATCCCCATCTGGCAGGTAAGAAACACAGAGCTCAGAGCCGTTGAAGTAGCGCTATTTAGATGAGACCCGATTGGTGGCTGAGCTAGACATAGACTCTAGGTAACTTGACTCTCCTTTCCTTTGCTGTGCAATATATCACAGAATGAAAATATTAGTATATTTATGTTCATGTATTTCTCTATCGTGGGGAAACTACACCAAAGCCTGGGTGTTTGTCTATTGTCTTTGCTTCAAAAGATGGCCTCTGCCCTGGGAAATAAAAAAGCCAATAAGAAGTAAAATTGAGCTATTTCTCCTTGTTTTTATGGGTAGCTCTCTTTCAGCACACTGCACTGAGAAAGGTTATTCTTTTTATTTTTCTCTGACTTTGGAACTTGCTTTCCAGATCGCACCCTACACAACTTGTTTAATCAATGGAATCTACTGGGAACAAAACACCCCTCGCCTACTAACCCGGCAGGATGCTCAGAGCCTCCTGGCTCCTGGCAAGTCCTCAGTTGCTGGTGTTGAAGGCTGCCCTGCACTGCCGCACAAGTAAGGACTCTAGCTCAACAATGGAGGCAGTTTCTAGCAGTTGCATCCATTATGAGGGACTCAAAGAACATACTGTCTCCACATACCACAGCTCTTGATTATTAATGACTGGGTGCCATTTTCTTTTTTAACCCTTTTGGCAGCATTTCACACAGTTAAGCAGCCTCCTTCTTGAACGTCTCTTCTCTTGACTCCTGTGACTTTACACGTTGCAGAAATGTCATCTCCTCAGAGTGATCTTCCATCACTTCTCCATTCCTAGCTGACTCTAGCTCGTTATTACTACTATTGTTATGTTTGTTTTTCTCATTTTCTGAAATTCATGATCACTTATTTTTCTACATTTACAGGGTCTATTTTATCTTGGTTACAGGTACCAACATAATAGGCACACAAATAGTTATTGAGTATTGAATTAGTCAATCAATAAATGTTTGTGGAACATCTGGTCTGCATGGCAACTCTGTTAAGCTGAAGGACAGAGAAGAATAAAACATAAGGTTGCTGCCTTCTGGATGTAGCTGGAGAATTAAAGACATTCACATAAAACATAAACCAAAGCTATGTAGTGGCATATAAATGCCAAGGGAGTGTTCTGAGCAATTGATACCATATAGTTAAGAACAAAGGGGAAACCACCGGGCTCAGGAAGGCCTTAAAATGGATAAGTGAAGATTTAGATCAGTGGAGAGGAGGACAATGAGAATTTCAGGTAATAGGATTGGTGCTTGTTAAAGTCCAGAGCCATGAAAGCACAATTTAAGACCCCCTAAGTAGGACAGTTTAGTTGCAGTGTAGGGATTGTGTAGCCCTGTCACCATCAAGTCAATTCTGACACATAGCAACCCTATAGGACAGAGTAGAACTGCTTCATAGTGTTTCCAAGGCTGTATGTCTTTACTGAAGCAGATTACCATTTCCCCCCATAGAGTAGCTGCTGGATTCTAACCGCTGACCTATTGGTTAACAGCTGAATGCTTAACCAATGTGCCACCGAGACCCCTACGGTTTGTGTAGGCTAATGGTAATTGGAGGAGCTCTGGTAGCATAATGCCTAAGGCACTTGACTGCTAACCAGAAGGCTGACGGTTCAAACCCACCACCCACTCCTTGGAAGGAAGATGGGGCAATCTACTTCAGTAGTGATACTGCCTCAGAAACCCAAGGGGAGGTTGCTATGAGTTGGGTCCAACTCGACAGCACGTAACAACAACAACAACAACAACAATGGTAATTGGAGATTGGGCAGGAGGGTTATGGTCAATCTGTAAAGGCTTTAGGATGCTGGGCTGATAACTTTTTCATAATTCTAAAGATTTCTCTGCAATAATGTGAAATTTTGTAGTACAAAACAGGGTGGAGGTGGTGTAATCAAACCTTCCAAAGTTATTTACAGGTGCTTAACTAGGTTAACTATAGCTAGTCTGTTGTCAGTGATTTCTCTAGGGAAAAGATCTGCCATGTTTGTTTAATTAATTTATTTTTTGGCTTGGGGAGAATAAAACTTATGTTCGAAAATTCTGTACATACCATAACATTATAGTGGTTGAACAGTGAATTACAGGAAAAAGAGCCTACCAGCCTGGAAAATACTTGACTTCCATATTAAAAATTGTTTCAAGCACCTTTGATTTTTCTTCAATTTTAGTCTTTTTGGAAACTTTTAAGTTCCATGCTCTCATCTAAGTATTGATGTGATTTTTAGACTTGTGGCCATATGCGACATTTCAGCTGACACAGGAGGATCTATAGAGTTTATGACTGAGTGTACAACAATAGAGCATCCCTTTTGCATGTATGATGCAGACCAGCATATTATTCATGACAGGTGAGTGGACTAAAGCTGTTGGATAATGAGCAATGCATAATAACACATCATTTACTCACCATGATGTACTCGTCTAAATTATTCAATAGTCTACATCTTTACAAATTTTGAGAGAGATGTTCAACATGTTAAAATTGGTAGAGAACCTACATGCAGATTTTAACACTTAAATACATATATGTTGTCATTGTGGTTATGTGCCGTCGAGTCAGACCTGACTCATAGCGACCCCTCCTTGGGTTTCCAAGGCATTATCACCACGGAAGTAGATTGCCCAATCTTCCTTCCAAGGAGTGGCTGGTGGGTTTGAACCGCTAGCCTTCTGGTTAGCATTTAAGTGCCTTGGACACTACACTACAAATGGCTGATGAAGAATGAAAGAGTTTTGTTTGAAAAGTATTGTCTGTTTTCTTATATAGTTGGTACAAAATTATAAGTGACAGTGAAACCAATATAATGGAGTAGACAAATGGAAAAGTTAGAGGTTACAAATATAATTTTGTCCATCTGAATAAAGCATGTTGCTTCTCCTAGTGTGGAAGGCTCTGGGATTCTGATGTGTTCAATTGACAATTTGCCGGCACAGCTTCCAATTGAAGCTACAGAATACTTTGGAGACATGCTTTACCCTTATGTTGAAGAAATGGTAAGCAGAATGGTGGCATCAGCAACAGTTTTGTGGCTTTAGATAGAATTGGGGAGTGATCTTAGGACTGTTCTGGTCTTCTGTATCTCAGAAATCTGTTGTAAAATGAAATGCCAGCTCTTCCCTGGGTACTTACCGACACTCTTTTTATTGTATGCATTCTGCTTATTGTCTCATGGGGAATGTGATTATACTACTGACTTTGTGTTTAATTGCAATTACATTTTTCTCTCATTATGCATATTTTATTAAGAATGTTCATGACATGTAGGATGGGATTTGCTTTATTTTCAGTTCTTCCTGCTGTCTAGGTCAACTCATATTGAAGCATTCTTACTGTGCTATGATTAACAGATTTGAAAAATCAGAAATATAGAGAATTATACTGGATTGTAGCCACTAATGCTTAGTTGAGTGATGGTTTATGTTGAAATCAGGTATTTTTCTTTGGTGATCAGAGGTTGATGACTGAATTACTGTTATCTAAATTTCATTTTCTTTGGAAAAAGAAAAGAAATCTCTTATTTTGATATTTATCCTAAGTGTTCATATCTATTGTAGTTTATTTCTGTTGCTAATAGTTGTTTGCTTGTAGCAGTCATTCTGAAGACATGGCAGTAGCTCTTGTCCTCCTCAAATGCAGCTTCTCTCAGGAGCCATGTTAAAATGGTACAGTAGTTAGTTGTTGTTGTTATGTGCCATCAAGTCGGACCCGACTCATAGTGACCCCTCCTTGGGTTTCTGAGGCAGTATCACGATAAGTAGATTGCCCCATCTTCCTTCCGAGAAGTGGCTGGTGGGTTTGAACCGCCAGCCTTCTGGCTAGCAGCCAAATGCCTTAGCCACTATGCTACTAGATCTCCCAGTCTGTGATCTTCTTTTCTTTCAAATATGATCCCATTTTGGCTTTTGTTTCTCTCCTGGAATATGCCAGCAAGGAGATGTAGCAGGCTTTAGAAAACGTATGCACCAAGCATTATTGCATTATTGTGGTTGACCACATTATTATATTGCACCTACTGTGTGCCAGGCAATGTTCAAGTGCTTTATATATTTTAAGTCTTCATGAGAAACCTATGAGGCAGGTACCATTATTAAACACACTTCACAGGGTAGGAAACTGAGAGATAAAAAAGTGAACACTAAGCAGGGGCTGTGCAGTGTTTAGAGTTGGTGCTGAGGGACTGAAGTCACATCAACAGGAGAGTACAAATGCTGAGCTTTACTGAGACATTAGTTGCTTTATGGCCTGGAGCGAGGATCTTATTTCCTTTCTGAACTTTAGATATTTCACCTATAAAATAAGGGTTTGCACTATGTAACCTTAATGGTCCTTCCTGTTCTAAAATTCTGTAATTCTGAGTGTCTGAGTGCCTGAAAGCTTTATGTATTAAAGAAAAGTAATAATGCTATTTATCCAGGTGGCTACTTTTTTGATGCTCTTCACTTATTTCCCTCTGGTATCATTACTTTTCAGCCTGAATAACATCCGTTAGGACCTT